GAGAATGTCGTCCACGTAGGCCTCCACATTGCGGCCGATCTGATTTTTGAAGAGGCGGTTAATCAACTTCTGGTAGGTCGCCCCGGCGTTCTTTATCCCGAATGGCATGGTAGTATAGCAATAAGTACCTCGGTCAGTGTAGAACGCCGTTTTCTCTTGGTGCTCTTCACTCATCCCTATTTGATGATACCCTTTGAAGGCATCTAAGAAGCAAAGGATCTCGTAACCCATCGCCGAGTCGACGAGGGTGTCTATCCTTGGGAGAGGATAGCAGTCTTTAGGGCAGGCCTTGTTGAGGTCGGTGAAGTCCACACACATTCTCCATCCACCGGTGTCCTTTTTGATCATGACTGGGTTGGACAGCCAGGTGGAATATTGAATCTCATGGATCATCTTGGCGGGCAAGAGCTTGTCGACCTCATCCAATATGGCCTTGCTACGTTCGGGGCCGAAGTGCCTTCGCTTCTGCCGCACAGGGCGGGCCTGTGGATTAACATTGAGTTGGTGCGTCATGAGGTCGGGTGGCACTCCGACCACTTAGTCCGCGACCACGCGAAGACATCTCGGTGGTCCTTGATCAGGGAGATCATTTCTTCTTTCAGGGGTGAGGGGAGTCCGGCGCCCACTTGGACCACCTGGTCAGGTCTTGACTCATCCAAGACTACTTGTTCCACCTCATCCCCCGGCTCAAACCTGTTGGATTCTCCGGCCTTCTGAGGGTCGATGCAGTCTATGGAGAGGACCGCTGGCCTCTTTTCTTCTGACCTCGGCGAGGGCCGGGGTGTGACTGCTGCTTGAATGGTGGCGAGGTAGCATTCCCGGGCGGCGCCCACGTGACTGCTCATCTCGGTCACCCCCGCAGGTGTCAGGAATTTAAAGCTCAGGTGGTAGGTGGAGTATACGGCTCTCAAGGCGTTGAGCGTGGGTCGGCCTATCAGCATGTTGTAAGGAGAGTCCGCTTTGACCACCGCAAAACTGACAGGCACAGTTCGGCAGCGGGGATGGCGCCCGATAGTCACCATCAAATTCACCATACCCTCCGGGTGGACGACGTGTCCCCCGAATCCAGCAAGGGGAGTTCTGACCGGAGTGAGTTGCTCCCGGGTCAGCTTCAAACTCTCGAAAGTTCGGTAGTACATGACGTCTACCGAGCTTCCGGGGTTAACATAGACCTTTTTGACTATGTAATTGTTAGTGAGGACCTCAATCACGAGAGTCTCGTGATTGCTGGAGGCGGCGGGGACAGGGTCACGGGGACCATAGGTTATCACCTCGGACAGTCTCGAGCTCGGCTCGGCCACATCCATGCCGGCTTGGCGGTAGGTCCGCTTCCGGGAGTTCTGGCTGTCTCCTCCCGTTGGGCCACCTGAGATGGTGTTGATCACCCCGACAATGTTTGGGCCGTAGCCCCGCGATCCATCGTGTGGAGGCCTCTGATCCCCCTTATGGTCCTCAGGACCTCGGCAATGAAGCTTGGTGTCTCGCCTGTCTTCTCGGCGGGGACCCCGGCTCTCCCGGTGGGAGGCGCTTCGGTTGAGACCCCCATCTTTGCGGACGAATTGCTTCAAGTGTCCTTGTCGAATGAGGTTTTCGATTTCTCGCTTCATGTCGTTGCAATCTTCGGTCTCATGCCCAACGTCTCGGTGGTAGGCACAGTAGAAATTGGAGTTCCTCCTATCCCTCCTTCCCGAAATCTCAGGAGGTGTTCGGCCGAGGTGGTTTTGCCTCATCACCGCCAAAACATGAGACCGGCTAGAATTGAGCGGGGTCAGCTTGGCGTCCGAGGTGGAAGATCGGCCTTTTACGATTCGGTCAAAGACACTCCGGCGGTCTCGGGGTTGGTTTGAAGTGCCACTTGGGCCTGGTTCACCTCGACCGGTGTCTTTCCTTCTCCGGGGATCTTGCCCCATACGAGATGCTTGGGCTTCTCGCTTCATGCGATTTACATCCTCACTTCGAATTCCCTGGTCCACTATTTTCCAGAGTTCCCGAAGTGTACGGGGGTAATCCCGATGGATTTCGGTGTTGAAAATCCCTGCCACCAACCCGTTGGTGAAGACGGCGATAGTTACCTGCTCGTTCTGATCAGGTATCTGCACATTCTCATCGTTGAACCTTTGAGCATACGAACGAAGTGATTCACCCTGACCCTGTTGCAGGTTCAGAGGTAAGCTGAAGTTTTCGTGATTGGTCGAGACGACACAAAGCAGTGGATGAACCGGTCTATCAGCTCGTCCAGGGAGGAAATGCTTCCCGGTTCCAAACTCCAGAACCACTTTCGGACAGTCTCATGTAAAAAAATGGGGAAAGCCCGACAAATCACGGCGTTGGGGACGCAATAGAGTTGGAAGGCGGAGATGAAGGCGCGGAGGTGATCCTCGGGGTCACCTCGACCATCATAGGTGTGCAAGTTTGGAAGCTTAAAATTCGGGGGCACCATCTCCCCATTAATGTCATCAGTAAAGGGCGGAGCCCTTATGTAGTCAGAAGCCAGGCCCCCGGGGTGCCGAGGTGGGTCCTCGGCTCGTTTCCCCAACAGTCCCCGGGAAAACGCCCGGGAGATGGAGGCAAGTTTAGAGGTCGCCTTGGAGGAGGCACGCCTGGAGGCACTCCGAGAGAGATGCCCCTCATCAGAGTCCTCGCCTGAGGGCACTTCAGGAGACTTCGTCAGCCTCCTCTTGGAAGATTCGGCCTTTTCTTTCCCCTGTCTTTTGAGGTATCTTCCTAGCTCCTCAAAAATGTTGGGGTTGTCTGATACGAACTCGGCCATCTTGGCGATGGCGTCCTCGTTGTTGGGTTGGGTCCTTTGGGACCCTTGTTCTTCAGAGATACGATCATGCTGGGCTCAAGAGGTCTGCCCAGCCCCGTTTGAGGGAACTCTTCCGCTTCTGGAGCGCGTGGATCTCATTTTAGTAATAGTCTCGTTCCCACAGACGGCGCCAATTGAAGAGGTGATTTTTGGTGGGTAAATGGGCCGACCTAAATCAGTCCTCTCCGAGATGAGGTGAGGTGAATTCTCGTGTCCGAAGTGAACCTTCTTGTCCGAAGTGAGTGGCGGGGCTTCTCCCCTGGGATCACTCCGACGATCAAGTTAGTATGAGAACGAGAAAATGCTAAAGTATAAGCAAATGAACAGTGTGCTTACTTGTTGGGGGTGTATGTGGGGTATTTATAGGAGAGTAGAGGACAGGGCGGAAGGCTCATGCTAGTGGGACCCACTCTCTGGCATTACGGCTCTGTCTACTGTCAGAAAATCTGACCCTGACACTGTAGCCTTCCGGGTATGATGACGGCGAGTACTGTGCAGGTGCCATTAAGTGCCTCCAATGCTTTTCAGATAAAGCACTGGTCCTGGGTGATGTCAGGTGGCTTGACATCATCAGCGTGCAGCTGAGGTGGAGGTGCCGAGGTCACCTACACGGTAGACCAGGGATCCGGCCGAACTCAGGAGTTATGCTCAAGACACGGGTGAGCTCTGATGAGGGACGAGGTGGATTCACCTCGGACATACGGGTTGGCCGAGGTGAGCATCCTCAATACAAGACGGGTGAGCTCTGATGAGGGACGAGGTGGATTCACCTTGGACATGCGGGCTGGCCGAGGTGAGCATTCTCAAGCATCTCTGGCAAAATGATGAGATCTACTGACTGTCTGACGTTGCATGATAATCTAGGGCGACGGTGTCAGAAACAGGACAACAATAGAGTGGCTGTCAATCGCATCAAGTCACCAGTCATTCGTCACATCATCGACCGAGGCGTTAGTAATTATGACAGTTTGGCCAAGGTGGCCAATGATATCAGGGTGATTTAGTCAAGGTTTTTGAGAACATAGGGACCGGGGTGATTTACCTCGGAGTTGTCGAGGTACCCATACATGGAAGCAAATATTTGGATAGATTCGGTCTATATAGATCTAGCGATTCAAAATTTATCACACCGTCTCATTAATTCGAGTATTAAAGATGTGGCAAAATTTGGACCACTAAATCTACAAGACAAACGCTTGGATAAACTCGGTTTATGTAGACTGTGGGTATCATCTCGGCCGAGATGGTACCTAAGCTCGTTTGCTCCGTGAAGATCCCTGCCCCTGTCGTTTTGAGTTGAGAATCACCTCAGCCAATCATATCAGTTTCACCTTCATTTCAGATCCCGTCATGAGCCCAACACCTAGCATCTCGAAGATGGAGATAGCTAGCTATTATCAGGTTGATATGACTACCTGCCGCGCTAGTGGTCAGGGTTAAGACTAAGCCTACTGCCATAGACTGTCATCTGACAACCAGTCAGGGTTAGGCGTTCATATTCTATCTATAAGGTTCTTCTTTATAAATACTCCCCATCATCTGTAAATTAGGTATGAAAAATCAACTACGGACATTCTAGACAACTCTCTCTTCACCCCTTCACTCTGTCCCTAAATTGACTTTAGCATTGAAGTGTGGATAGGGGGATATGACCCCGACCACTATGTATTTTGGCAGGTGAGCATGTGCTATCGACTCGCCTCGTCTGCTTGAAAATCATCTCGTCATAAACTTATTGATTCAAAATTTGTCACATCATCTCATCAATTTAACTATCAAAGATGCAATAAAATTTGTACCACTAAGTCTACAAGATCGGATCCACCGTCAGCGAAATGATTATCTCATTTTCAACTTTAGGCATGTATCATTTCGAAATTGCAATTGGCAAAATGATCATGTGTGCCTCTTATGGAAATGATGACCGGGCTGGGCTGGTTTCACTTGTTTGTAAATCATTTACGAATTTACCATATAAAGGCCCACCGCCACTCCGATTTTCACTCAATCCTCGTTTGAAAAACTCGGACCAAGTTCTGGAAAGATGACGCGGAGCTAGGAGACATGCCCGAAGCGGCGGTGTCCTCTTAGTATTATGACACGTGCCCCAAACTGCCAGCTGCTGCAACCCAAGCCCATGAATGTACCATTTCATAGGCCGTCTATATGACATGAAAAATGTCAATAAAGTCGGTACTTGAAGATAATTTCTGGCACATCTATCAAGATTTTGAGCGTAATTTCTTAGCAGCTTGCAAATTCGCGGAAGATTTTCTGCATAGTTACTGCTAAAAACTTGCTAGCGATCATGGCCTTGAGGTCCTCGGTGAGTGTGTCAACTGTAATGTTACTTCATTCAGAGCCGATCTTGGCTGTGCAGAATGTACCTTTTTCATCAATTAACTGGTTTGATCGATTCAATTTTTGCAGGCTCAATTGAAATATTATTTCAGTCGCTTGAGAACTGGTAGCGGAAATTCAGGTTTTGCAACATCAACCATTCCCAAAATGAAGCCTCATGCCCCAACAGCTGATATTCATACCCATGAACATGCAGACACGAAACTATGGTAGGTTTTCTTTTTTGTGCATTATTCTTGTGCTAGAGGGAAAGAGGTTATCGGATGTTATCAAAACAAGGGAGGATTGGTCTGACCGAAGTTAAAGTAGATTGTGGCAAATTTCGAAGGAAAAACCCGTTGGCTAACATTTAATTGCTAGTACTAATTAAAGTTTCAAAAGATGTTATATATGATACTTGAAATCTTCAAGGCAGCATTTTTTATTCTAAGTATCGTTGTAGTCTTCTTAGGACGTAGATTCTAGGTTTAACTATTCATTTTTCATTCGTGCCTCTTAAATTTGAAAAGAATAGCATGTAGTATATAGGATACAGTAAATCTTTTGACAATAACCAAGTGATGATTCTTTTTACTACTTTTAAGTAGTTTTTGGATTAATTTTATTTTAAGTGCAGGCCATTGAAGGCAGAGTTTGTTCCAGTATACGTGGCACTTGGGTTGATAGCTATGTCTACGAGTTTTGGAACATACACGGCATTGCATCAGCTGAAGAGGGCTCCAAATGTGTATGTGAAGAAATCAAGAAGGGAAACCGTTCCAGAGGTGGCGGAGCCGGAGCGGGTGGCGGAGGATGTCGATCAGTTCATCAACAAATCTTTCTTCAGGAAGGTGGCTCATGTCCAAGATTCTGACCGCCAAGACACCGTGCCTAATCCCATCGCCGGAGATGTCTATGCATGGTATGCAGCATGCATGGACCATTTATTCCTCTCACATGTATCAAATCGTTATAGTTTATTCTTGTACAAAAATTCCTAAAAATAGCAATCCAAACGTTACCATATTCTACAAAAATTTCCACTTCCGAACACAAGTAATGTTAGGGAATAATTATAAGCACTTAGGTTTACACAAAATTCTAAGCGATCAATTGCAAATGCAGGAAGCCACATTTCAAAGCGGCGACATTGAAAGATGTTGGAGCGGAACCACCGAAAGATAAACCACCTAAAGATGCTTGAGCGTCCTTGATCCTGCGGGACATTTGCTACTACTTTTTTGGCTCTCCGTTTCTGTTAACTTGTGGGCCAATGAGTACTATTTTGATACTTCTCCGGGATGTTTGGTGGAGTACTGCCTTTTTCGATCAGTTTATTGGGTCTTTAATTCCGAACTTACAAGTCAATGAGTTCTATTTTGATGCTCGACTGTAAATTGTTTTGAATAACATGAGCTGAAGGGATTTTCTTTAGGATGTAAATCCACCCTATTGGTGCTTTTTTTTTTCTTGGGTTTGAATCAAGGAAAGAGATCAGATTATTCTGTTTTTGAATAATTTGTTCGGTCTTAATCATAGAGAAGAGAATAGTAAAAAAGGAGAATTTTGGTCCATCATACATATTTTGGTCAAATTTGAGCACGCTAATCATTTTTCATGTGGTATGGCATGGCATGTCAATTTCAGAGCTCCGTTCAACGGCATCCATCAAGAAGTCAGGGAATCAAAAAATTCTTTTTGACTAATTTTTCACCAAACAAAAAAAAAATTAAGTAAAATTGACTTTTGCATTGTTTTCGCAAATTGAGCGATCTTTATACAACTAGGCCAACTTCTAAAAGAGTAATCATCTTACAATGTATAGTAAGCATCACTTTCATGTCATGATACATATTATTTTCCATAAAATTCTTCATGATATTATGACGCCAAACAATTTTCTAGCACTCACATATTATTATTTCTTGAATCTTGACCGATGAAAATTACAGTTGGGATGATCGCAAAGCATTTGTTTGGTACCATTTTTTCAAAAGATAAAACACACAATTCACATTTTATTCACTTCTGCCTTGTCTGGCTGGTTCCTTGCACTTACTCTCCCACATCATCCTTTTATTTATGAATTTTAATATGGGTATATTATATCGTCTGGTTTATTTATTTAGTAGGAAACAGGGAAGGAAGGTCCTAACAGACAAGGAATATACTGTTTTATCTTGGTAGACTTGGCTCCTGTCCAAAGTCAACGCTCTCAACATCACAGGCATCCATCGAACAATCCCTGATAAAATACCAGCTTTCCCATTTGTTTTTTCAGGCAATAGGCAGCGTTTCTCCTCTATGAGCATGGGGTCGACCGGAGGAGAACCAGCATGGCCTGAATTGCTAGGAAGCAACGGTTGGGAAGGCCTTCTTGATCCATTGGATGATAGTCTCAGGGGCCTGATTCTTCGCTGTGGCGATTTTTGTCAGGCAACCTATGATGCCTTCAACAATGATCAGAATTCCAAGTTCTGCGGCAGCAGCAGGTATGGCAAGAAATCATTTTTTGAAAAGGTCATGTTGGAATCAGGATCAAATTACCAAGTTATTGGTTTCATCTATGCCACGGCTCAAATAGGTGCACACAAGGCGATTTTTCTCCGTTCATTGTCCCGCGAATCCTGGGACCGTGAGTCCAATTGGATTGGCTACATTGCTGTCACAACAGATGAATACAGCCAAGCTATAGGCCGAAGGGAAGTTTACATAGCATTTCGCGGGACAACAAGAAATTACGAATGGATCAACGTGTTAGGTGCAGGGCTTAAGTCTGCAGAGCCACTCTTACGTCCAAAAGCTTGGAAGAAAAGGGAAGATGGAAGTGTAAGCACCAGTGATAGCGATGGAGATGATGAGGAGAAGATGCCAAAAGTTATGCAGGGTTGGCTCAAGATTTATGTTTCCAGTGATCCGAAATCGCCTTTCACATATCTAAGTGCCAGAGAACAGCTTCTGGCCAAGATTGAAGAGCTGAGAAACCTATATGAAGGTGAGGATTTGAGCATTACTTTTACTGGGCATAGTCTTGGAGCAAGTTTATCAATTTTAGCTGCTTTTGATCTGGTTGAAAATGGGCTTCACGACATCCCTGTGGCAGCAATTGTTTTTGGTAGTCCGCAGGTGGGAAACAAGACGTTCAATAACAGATTGAAGCAATTTCCAAATCTTAAAGTCCTCCATGTCAGGAACAAAATCGATTTAATCCCACACTATCCGAGCCATTTGCTGGGGTATCATAACTCAGGAATCGAGCTAGTTATCGATACTAGAAAATCGCCCTTTTTGAAAGACTCGAAAAATCCTAGTGATTGGCATAATTTGCAGGCAATGCTACATGTTGTAGCTGGTTGGAATGCAGCTCATGGAGACTTTGAACTGAAGGTAAAGAGGAGCTTGGCTTTAGTAAACAAATCTTGTGGATTTTTGAAGGATGAATGTTTGGTCCCAGAAAATTGGTGGATTGAAAAGAACAAAGGAATGGTGCTTGATGAAAATGGAGGATGGATTGTTGCAACACCTGCAGATGAGGACCTACCGGTCCCTGAACATTGATGTAGAATCCTCATAAAGATTAGATTTGAGTGGCTACTAATGAATATAATTTGTTCTTTTGCTTTTTCTTTCTCAGTGGTCTTTGTGTATCCCTATCTACCCTTCATCTGCATATGATATTGGACTAAAATTGTCGGCAAGGCTTGAATTGTCACCATCGACTTCAATGTTAAAGTAAAGAGCTGATTTAGTCGAAATCTGAAATAGGATTGGCAGCCAATTTGTTCTCTTACGATGTACAAACAAACTTCTAAAATGCACGTCAATTTAGAAGGCTTAGGTAAAAAATAATAGCATGACTTCCACTTTTATCAAAGAAATTTGTTTTGAAGTTTTGGTATATGCAGAGAGCTGTTACCTTTGGGTGATTGGAGGATGGTATGCTTCCGAGTTCCAACTAATTTTCAGTTTGAAAGGTCTAAGTTTCATACTGTCATGCATTCACTAGTGTGTCACCATGATACATCAGCCAAAAAACTTCAAAAAAAAAAATCAAGTTTTCATTGTGCCTTAAGTTTTAACTTTGGTTGATTTCCTGATTACGAGTTACCTTTAAGTTTGTTGTGAGAGGCCACTCAATCTACTACTCCAAATCTCAGGATATGTCATCATATTTTACTATTTTTTTTCAAAAAAAAAAGTAAATTTCATTAACGAGATTAGGGCTGCAAACGAGCCGAGCCGAGTCGAGCTTTGAGCTAATCGAGCCGAGACTCGATTAAATTTTACCAAGCTCGAACTCGAGCTCGACGAGCCGGCAAATTTCGAGCTCGAGCTCGACTCGAATCAAGTCGAGCCGAGCTCGAGCTCGAAAAAAAATAAAAAATAATTATTTTATTTTTTTAAAAAAAATAAAATAATATTTTTTTCTTAATAAAAAATAAAATATTAAGGATATATACGTAATTTTACTATAAAAATAAAAAATAAAAAAATATATATATATAATATACGTAATTTTATTATTAAATAAAAATAAAAAATATATATATATACCCAAACTCGCGAGCTAACGAGTTTAATATTTTGAGGTCGGGCTCGAGCTCGAGTTTGACTCGAGCTGGCTCGAGCTCGACTCGAGCTCGATTAATAACGAGCTCGACTCGAGCTTGACTCGAGCGGCTCGCGAGCGGCTCGATTCGTTTGCAGCCCTAAACGAGATTATTAGAAATCGTTTAGCATAATTTGATTTACATTACAAATACTGCACTAATAGAGGTTAAACATGTACAAGAAATAACATACCTATAAAAATTTGAAAAATTATGAACATATCTGAAAAATATTTAAAAATTTTCAGAATATCTTCTAATAAGATGAATTGCTACAATTCCCTTCTCTATATATCACAATCATCAAATCTACTAATTAACTGCTTTAAGATCCAATAATGATGATGAAATCTGTCGAGATAAACTTAAGATCTTAAAAATTTTCAGATTTAACAATCATATCTAATAATAAATAAGAAAAAATTACATAATAATTATTAGGAACTCCTGGGAGAGCAAAAAAAAATTACTCATTAGGAACTCCTAGAGGAGAAATAGAGAACTCCAACAAAAAATACTTTAGGTGAATTTTTATTAGAAAAATAAAATAAAAAAGGAATTTACGGAAAGAGAGACCATGATAGTCTCCCTCTCGAAGAGAAATGCCTTTTGAGAAGGAGAAGAAATAGAGTGAAGAAGTTGGTGAGGGGAAGAAGTAGTTTTAGAGGCCCGGTTTGAACGCCCTATCACATATTTTACCATTTTGGTAAGGATTGCGGGTACAAGAGAATCAAGAAGTAGTTTTAGGGGAAGAAGTAGTTTTAGAGGCCCTTGGTAATGTTAAGTCATGAGCAAAATTTTAGGCTGAATTATATTTTTGGACCCTTAAACTATAGATTCATTTCTACTTTAGCCATTCAACTTAATTTTTTGGAAATTTTACCCTAGGGCCGGGTATGCAATTCATCCATTTTAAGTTTTAAATCTCAACTTTAGACACTTTATACTCTAAAATATGAAATTCAGCCCATAAAATTGTCAAATCTAACAGAATAAGACATAAGTGGCGCTCATAGTTGAAACATTGGGATGACTTTTACACTTTGGGTGGTAAGGCATCTAAAGTTGAAATTTGAGAACCAAAATGGGACAGATTTCATACTTGGAGTACTAAAGTGAAAGTGCTTAAGGGTCCAAAGTGAAATTTAACCAAAATTTTAAACCATGGTTGAAGCAATGAAACATGTTGGAGCTTCCCGGACGGACATCTCCAGAGCCAAAGAGAACTGGAACCTCATCATTGAATGGGATTTTTCCCACAAATATTTTTATGGGAATCAGCCTTCTTGTACATGACAGATGATAGTATAGACTATAGATAATGTATTTCTGCAATGTTTCGGTAGCTGCTGCGCTTCCACCCAATGTAAGCTTCCCTTCATTTAAGGAAAAAAAAAATCCACAAAGCTATATATAGTCACCCATGTTTTTAAGATGGGCAAATTATCTGATTGGCCCTTTAACTCTTTGTCCAGGTAAAATTAAGCCTCTCAACTATTTTTTGATGACTTTAAGCCCTTGAACCTGCAAAAGTGGAAAATCGTGGCCCTTTTACCCAATTTCTCCGGTTTTGCAACCGGAGGACCAATTCACACGCATGCAAGTGTGCTTCTTCAAAGGGCATTTTTGTCCGCCTGTTCTAAACAAAAAGGGCACAACTCCTTCCTCCTTCTTCTTCTTCTTTTCTTTCTTCTTTCTTCTTCCCGCTGCCTCTGTTTTGCTCTGTGCCGCCGCCCGTGCTCGCCGCCAGCTCCAAATCGATCTCGCGCTTCGCTCTCCCCACCACCAGCTCGACATCACTCCAGACGCCACCTCTGCCCCAGCTAAACTCTTCCGCCACCAGATCTGCTGCTCCCACGAACCCCCTGCATCTGCTGCTGCTCCTCTGCCGCTGACCAGTCGCGCGCCGCCATCTCACCAGCAACCCCAGCCGGCCGCGCCCCAGCCTCTGTGCCGCCGCCGCTCACTCCCAAAGCCACAGTCGCGAGCCCCCTCTCCCTTCGCGCGAGCAGCCCGCCGCCATTTCGCTCGACTGAGCCCATCGCACGCCATTAGAACAGGCGGACAAAAATGCCCTTTGAAGAAGCACACTTGCATGCGTGTGAATTGGTCCTCCGGTTGTAAAACCGGAGAAATTGGGTAAAAGGGCCACGATTTTCCACTTTTACAGGTTCAAGGGCTTAAAGTCATCAAAAAATAGTTGAGAGACTTAATTTTACCTGGACAAAGAGTTAAAGGGCCAATCAGATAATTTGCCCATTTAAGATTAATTTACAGTTTTCCCTACTTAGCACTATATAAAATCATCATAAGACACATTTCTGAATTCAAAGACATGATCAATATACCTTTACACGCATTTTATACGAAATTTATGTACTAATAAGTTTAGAGGTGTCAATCCCCTCTTCTGTCCACACTGGCCACTTCGTCTGTTTGTCAATTTTCTATATTCATTTAACTGTCATGCATGATTCTCTACTTATCCTATCCAGCATAGAACAAGGAATAGAATATATGTATATTGGCACTTCATAACACTCAAGAGATCATGGACAGTTTTGTGTTAGTTTTATGATTATGGAGTATATATGTCTTTCCCCCGTTGACATTAAAATGGTTCCCAAAGGTTACATATCTATGCACTGCCATAGGCCGGTAGAGATAAACCCAATCCTGCTTAGTACGCTGATTAAGACACCCAAAGAACATTCCAAGCCTTTGCAGTGATGCCTTTTTGTAAAGTCTGGTGTCCTATACAAGAACCCAGAACAATGCACAGAAGATCTGTAAGTAGCCAAAGAGAAATAGAGAATACTCGTTACAAGTATTAAAAGGTGGCGGCCTTGACCAGGGAGTGCGTTTTGGCGTCCTTGATGGTGGTCCAGGAACCTCACCATCAAAACCATAATATATGCGCAATAATCGTACTGTATTTGGCTGCATGACCACTAAATTAACATACTTCAGTGCATTCCAGACTGATTAATCCATATTTATGTGTTCAGCACTGGCACCGGTTGTCGTTTGTCGATCCCTTCGAATTCTTGATACATATAACCATGCAATGTTTCACGAATAACTGGATGTGAAGACTGCTAATGGCACTCAATTATAGTCTCATAGCTGAATCCTTGTGATATTGTGGAGGAAATTAGAGTCATCGGGGGGCAGGGCTCCCATTTCTCCTTCGAACGTAACCAAATGCGAAAGAAGAAAGAATTAATCTTTCCTACGCTGACAGTATATACATTGTGAGCGTTGGATGAATGACAACTATGTAAAATTTGAATTTAAAATTCAACTTTTGCACATAAGTCATGAATCAAACGGTGATAGTGTATGTAAGATTTACTTGAGAAGGAAATGACTACAAAAGTAAAAGTCGCGTTATTTTTTATTCCTTTTTAACTCGACCCTTGGTTGAGTTAAGAGTCGATTCTCTTATTCCCTCATAAGATTAAGCCGATGAAGGTTGATCTTTGGCATATAATAAAGACACATGGATCTATGAACTTTATCATCTTGAAGCTTTAATTAAGCTTTATAGACTTTTTGGGACAAGGAACAAAATGACACGTTGGCTTTGCCTGGTTTTACATGGCCTAAAACCACCACTAGCTGCAAGTGATCGAAAAAGTGATTCAAGATTGTGATGCAAGGCAAATTATATCAGCAATCAAGTGCAAACAGAGAACCATTTCGTAGGTATAAAAGCCCAGCCATGGTTAGTGCCAATGGCATAGCTGCGAGAAAACAATTCAATTAGAATTAATTTCCCAGATATGATTGGAGGAAACTTTCAGCTGCCCTCAAAGGCTTCCAGTATTCTACGTTATACAGCTATTGATAATGGCTAATAATGTTAGAATATGGTTGCCCGAGGGGGCAGGCTGAAAACTTGCTCCATTGACTCGGAAGGCTTACATTTTTGTTCTTTAACTCGATCGACCATCAAGCATCACTATTGGCGGGGCAGAAATTAATTCCAGTCGCCTCTTCAGT